ATGGGGTGAGCATGGAAACAAATTCAAATAAAAGTTTTTATAACTGGAAACGAAGACACAAGGGGAATGAAAGAACGCAACGCGAAAACTAAAGAGTCTAACCGAACCAGATCCATACTAAATGTAGAGGTCGAACTAATTTCTTTTGAACACATAGCTCCAGCTTTTCGATGCATATGGAAAGGACTTCTGCAGTACAATGAAGTCGGAAACACACTGTCCTTGTTAGGTTTTTGTTTACTTTGTAAATGAATCTGAACGCTGGGTCACTTGACATGCTGTGACGGGTGTTGACGAAGTACTCCATTACGGTGCTTCTGGCTGAACCAGTTTCTCCTCTTGGTAATAACAATAAGACAGCCTTAAACAGTTTTGTTACTTCCAAGTAGGTACGGGCTCCAGTAAAATTTAACTCAAGACTCGTTATCATGAATAAGTCTTATTACTTTAGCAAAATAGTGACTTTATTAAGTGACTAACCTAAATTTCAGAAACTATCAACTGACAAAGAAACAACGTAGAGGACTGAGAGACAGTTAACAGAGTCTACAGAAAAGTTGGAACAACAAGGCCATATTTCACCAGCTTTTTCTGGGAATAGTTCTGCATCGCGTGCTCTGTTTATTCTCTCCAGGAAGACGTGACTTATTATATTGCTTAGCGTGGACAGAAACGTGAGACCAAGTCATTTTTACAGGGGCTTAAGTCACTCTTCTCTGGAAGTTTCACAAGGTAGCTTTTCTTCCAGTCAGTAGGCACCTTTTCTTCCTTCCAAACATCTTGCAGTAGTGGCATGAGCATATCCATTTTCAGTGCCTCGGGGAATTCCACTTGGTCCTGTTGCCTCCCTGGACTTCAGTAGCCTGATCGCAGTCAAGATTTCTGCCTTTTTTGGAGGATTGGTGTTCAATGGCATTTGTGTGCCTACTGTTGGTGGTATTTTCAAACTGGTTATAGGTTGTGGCCTATTGTTTAACTTATTTCTCCTCCTTGGCAATTTGTCCCATAACTATCTTTCATTGGTTTCATCTGCGTTCATCTTTTCTTGGATAGAGATCTAGTTATCTGATATAATGTTCTGAGGTCTCTTTTACCTATGGCCTGCCTGTTCTGCTTCTGTTGTCAGTGTCTCATAGAATTGCTTTTTTTCACAGCAGTCTTCTTGAGTTCTTTATTCAGTGAGGTGCATATTGAACTACTCTTCTCCTTTTGTTGTCCACCTTTGCATTGAGTCATCTTCTCTTTCACCATCCACGTCTCCTCTACGAAATTCTAGGCACTCGTTCAGAGCCGTTCCTCTTCTCACTTCTTCTTAGAAATGTTGTACAAGTTTCCTTGAACAGCACCTCCACAGAATTCCAGTGTTCTTCCACATAGGTCCCCTCAGTGATACCACGGAGTGTATCCGACTTTAGTCTGACAGCTGTAGTGATGAAATTATTTGTAGTTTTATTCTTTTACGTTCCCAGTGGAAAATAGGGCTTCAAGCTAGCACTTTGAATTTTCGGTAGCAGTGGTATTTATTTTTACAGGATAGTGTTGCTAGCCTTATGCCTAACCTTCTCTCTTTACCAGTCTCATTACTAGCTTAGAGAGTGCGTCGACCGGGCATCGAACCCCGAACCACCTTCGTGGTTGGCAAGCATTCTATCGTTTTGCCACCGACGCAGGTAGTATTGGATAACTGAAACTTTCTTTTCCTTTCAGTTGAATTTTGCTGTCACAATTTTGGAGGAAATGTGAAGTCAGTGCTACTATACGGATCAGAGACTTGGCCAGCACGTCATAAAGAACATCTCAAACAAACTTCAGACCTTCATCAACAGCTGCCTTCGTTCAATACTCAAGATCAGATGGCCGGCCAGAAAACATCAGCAATAGAGATTATTTTTTATTTATTTTTGATTTACAGCTTGATTCCACACCGTATTTTTGGTACAAGTATGGAATTTTCAGCGTGGATATCGGTAGCCCAAAATTCGCAGGCCGACCATAGATATCGGGTGTGCGTCGGCGTGGGCTCGAACCCCGGACCATGTGCATGGCTGGCGAGGATGCTAACCACTGTGCCACCGACGCACAATGAGCGAACCAGCACAGCAGGAACCGATTGTGAAACAAATAGGCAAGAAGAAATGGAGATGGATTGGTCATACTCTGAGAAAACTAACCATCAAGTGACATCACTAGACAAGCCATCGCTCGAGTGGAACCAGGCCGAAAGGGAAGCGGTGAGTTGGTCCTCAGTGCAAGGGTGACTTGGAGGAGGTGATGTGAAGAGGAGATGAAAGCATGTGGGCGGACTTGGAGCGGGGTGAAAAAGTTGGCAGAGAACCGAACGCAATGGAGAGGCACACCTGAAGCCCTATGTTCCTCTAGGAACTAAAGGATAAAATAATAATATAATCTTGGAGGAGGTTGTTACCCGAGGCACAGTAAATTTAAGTGTTTTGGTGATATCATGATAGCCACTCCCTCAGTGCGCTCATGGTTGTCGTCTGGGTGACCAGACTGGAGTCGATTACTGACTCACCAGTTGATAATTGGAATAGTCCACATCTATTCCACCTGCTCTTACAGATTCCCAGCATATTTTCTCATTTCTTCGGCCTTCCCAGCTTCGTATGTTGTTTGAACATCCCAGATCCATATACGTATTTTTACTTTTACCGAAAGAAGAAAAATCCACTGACTGGCTTCTGGAAGGCTTTCACCAACCGCGTGATTTCACAGTGTGATTGATTTTCGTCTGAAGTAATTTTTAATTTCTTTGTAGTAGTGGTGGTAGTCTTTATGTTCATCCTTATCAAATAAGAAAAAAACTAAATGTCTACACTTCTACAGTATTTTAAAAAATATTCTTTTCCTAAAATATCAAGGTAATACAAATTGCAGTCTTAGTGACTTTGTGAATTTCATATATTCGTCAGTATAAGGCATTCATATCTTCATCCGAAGTTAACACGAGTCCATATTATAATGACTACTGCGTCGGGTCCCAGGTAAAACACAGGGTTTCAGCAGCACATCTCCACGATTACCAATAAGCTGTTATCTCCTCCTCACACGATCTCTTCGGTGTCACCCCAGACGTCCAACTCATCATCACCCATTCGGGCCTAACTCCAAGGACTAGCGCGTGATTTCGCCAAATGGTCTCCTCGGCGTATACCTAAAACATTTAACAGTTAACCATATTTACCGCTCCTACCTGCTTCTAGTCTTTCTAAAGGAAACACTTCAAATGAGTTCAGTTCTAACCATGACTGTCACCTCAAGAGTAATAAAACATCAATTTTTCATTTTTACTATAACCTAGGCTATTAGTTTTATTGAAAGAATTTGATACTTTAATCCCGTAAGTTTATTTGTCAAATCCAAAACGAAATTTAGGATTATTTCTAAAACGTTTACACTTTTCAGATGTACTATATTTTTAATTACTAAATTTTGAGATATTGAATCATTACAAGTAGATGAGGATTTCTTTAATTTCTTCCAAAAACTGGTCTGTTTCATAACTACTATTTTAAATAAAAGTTCTGTTAGTGCTTGAGTTCACCTGTTGTTAAGTAAAGTTGGAGTTGCATGTCAAGTGCATACAGAAGTGTAAAAGATCTCAAATAATTCATTGGAGCTACTATATTATTAGTTTCCTTTAGTTCCTAGAGGAACATAAGGCTTCAGGCGCATGTCTCCATTGTATTCGGTTCTCCACCAACGTTTTCATCTGGCTCCACGTCTGCCCACATGCTTTCATCTCCACTTCATGTCACCCTCGCACTGACGACCAACTCGCCGCTTCCCATTCAGGTTCCACTCGAGGGGTGGCCTGGAGTGTGATGTCATTTGATGGTTAGTTTTCTCAGAGTATGGCCAATCCACCTCCATTCACTCCTGCAGATTTGTAGCACAACTGGTTTGTGCTGGGTTGGTTCGTTCCCAAATCTGCTGATCTTTTATGGCCGGCCATCTGATTCTGAGTACTGAGTGAAGACATCTGTTGATGAACGTCCGTAGTTTGTTCGAAGTGCCCATCGTGGTGAGTCAAGCCTCTCGTCCGTATAGTAGTACTGACTTCATATTGCAATTGAAAATCCGGATCTTATTTTTCAAGCTGAGTGTTGTTGACCTCCACACAGACTTGAGAGAAATGAAAGCTAGCCTTGGTTTCCCGATCCTCGCTTTGATATCCTCATCAGTTTCGCCCGCCTGTAGTTGCATCGATGCTTCCCAGGTAGGTAAAAGGATTTCTTTCAGATTTCTATTGGGCTTTAAAAAGTTAAATTCAGTTTAACTGTCGACATTTAAATTAAGATTTTCTGACATTAATGAGTTCTTTTGTAATTGTGCTTATATATATATATATATATATATATATATATTCTATTTGTTTCATAAGTCTTTTGGAGTCCAAATCATAATTAGTTTTGCGTAATAGTCAATAGAACTGATAGACCAATCAGTAATCGAGCCTGAACAGTCTTATAAAAGCATTCAGTTTTTTGTTAAATTTTTTTAGGTTGAGTCAGAACATGCGTAAATATCTCATCACCATCATAATCATCATTTTAAAAATTATTCCTTATTATTTTATCTGTTTTTCTACAGATATATTTGAACATTCATCATTGAAGACTTAAGAAGTAATAAAAAGAAATATATTCAAGGACCAATCAAATTATCCTACCATAAAAATCAATATCTATATAAATGACATTTCAAATTACTTTTCTTTTAGTGATACAAACAACCGGAATGCTTTAAGTATATGTTTTCTGCGAAGGTGATTTTAGTCACTATTGTAGTTATTTACTTCTTCAAATTTCTATGAGTATCCTTCAAAAACTTACAGATGCTGTATTTATTAAATATGGACAATGGAAAATCCCAATTTATCAGTTAATAAGATTTAACTTTAACTGTCTATATTATTAAAATAATTTATGCGCGAAACCAAATAAGTATAATCAACGCAACATTTATGGATAATGCATTCGATGGTAACTGAAGAGACAACCCAGTTGACATTGCAAAGAAAAAGTATTTTACCAATAGAAAAGTCATATGGAGATAAAGTTTTTGTTTATCAGGATAATTCATTACCTACTATTACTGTCTTAAAGAAATTAAATGACAAAAGTGAGGATAAAAATGATATGAGACATTCAGGAGATAATTTATTCAGTGATGATGAGCTAGATGAAATAGATTATACAACTATTCAACTTCAGTCTAATACAAATGCATACGTAATAAAACCTCGAAGTTGTCTGAAATACAAATACAACATCCAAGACGTCTACGATGGTGATGATGAAGGTGAGGAAGAAAATGACGATTTTTATAAAAGTTATGATAAGAGTTCTCAGGCTGTTATCACGAGAAAACAGAAAAAAGACAAAGTTCCTATAATGAGGTGTGCCTTTGATAAGCATGACTATCGTCATAAGTCTAATTCGTTCACAGAAACATCTAGATGTCAGTCAGTTGAAAGGAGCTTTATCGGTACAAATATTTTCCCATGTAACAATAATGATTATGCCTGTTTTAATGTTATTGCTCACCATCATATATCTGAATCAGAATTAGACAACCAGGCTAATCTCAGTGGTATCACAAATACCATTTTGCATAGATCATCATCATCATCGTCAATACTTAGCTTGTTTAACTTGTCTTCTAATCAGTCGGACATATCACCTTTATTAGAGTATTCTAATGACACTTTTGACAACAAATATGGTGACCAAGATATTCTACTAATAACTAATCGAAATGCAAGTAATAATTTCAGTAGAGAATTTAACAGTGGTGATACTAAAAATAAGCAGTCAGAAATCAATAAAATAAGTGCAAGAAGAATAAATGAAATCTCGAAATGGAAAACTGAAAATCTAAGATATAAGTCATGGAAATATAAAGAGAAACATAATGCGAGAGAAGAAATAAGTGGTAAAAATTCAAAAAGACTTAACTTTTTTCGAAATCTTCTCTATTCAGGAAAATTTAAAAAAGGCAAAGCTAATATTGATGAGCGTGAGAAAGTGGTGAATAAAGAAAAGCCTATAGAACTTGTTGAGCATAGTAGACTAAATAACAACGGTTCTTTTAGTAATAAATATGGCGATGAGAGTTGCAGTCAAACAGGTAATGATATCTTCTTCGATGAGGTGATTGACTGTGTGTCTAACATGCCAAAACAAATAAACACAGCAATCTTGAGTAGTAGAGATTCTTTAAATAAAACAATTTATTGTATTCAGCATACAAACTTGTCTGTGAACCAGGAAACCGACAGTCTTTGTTACCCTATTAAATATCCTAAGCCAATTCACTTCACCCAAGTTTCAAATGTGATATATCCCGTGGTATCCGCATATTTGGTTTGTATGAATAAGAAAACATTATGCGCAGTCAGTAGACATCTTAAAGATAAAACAAGCAACTGTAAATATGATAATTACATCAGTAGAGTTTATTCAAAAATCCCGACACCCTTAGTTGAAGATGCTAATACTAATCAACACTTCGAGGAACCAGCGTGTTACGATAAAAGTGAATACCACTGTAACAACGCTGCAATATCAGGAAGTGTTAAACAAATTACTTTTGATAAGCGTAGAAAATCGAGTACATTGTCATCATCTGAACCATTAAAACATAAATTACAGTGTCGTAAACGCATACGGATGACAAAACAAGATTGTTTTTTCCCGTATGAAATTGAAACACCAAGTTTAACTGTAAGACATTCTATCCGCCCGATAACCGACAGTCAGTCTGTTTTACTTCCAAAAAGTCAAAGTTCACCGTCATTGAGTGATCATGTAGATGAAATAGACAATAACTGGATAACCGGTCAAACAGATAATGATGTAAACGAAGAGATAGAGAGAGATAGTGGTGGATCGAAATGGATCAGTACCAATAGTAATGATACACAACAATTAAAAACAGAAACATTGGAACGTAGAAAAGTTACTGCATGGATGCCAGTAAATTATATGCGTACAGTTGATAAAACGCCGAGTTTATATTTAGACGAAAGAGGTATGATTAACGGTATAGCTGAGTGTTTAATAACAAGTCTATCCTCTCTGTCTATTCCAATAAGTGAAATTGATTCATCAAATAAAAGTCTGACAAATTGTTATTCACCAGAACCATGTGAACGATTACTTGCCTATAAACAAACAGTTGAGATTCAGTCGAATAATTCAGACAATGACCCGTTGCATCATTACGACTTGTATGACTCTGATGAGTATGAAAACAGGATACAGACAACACCAATAGCTAAAACAGACTTTACAGATATTGACAATGAAAAACAAAATGCACCATTAACAGACGACAGCGTATCTCAAACACACACAAAATTCTTCAACCCCATAGAAATAAGTCTTGGTGAAGAAAAAGCATCAATCAATAATATGTATGTATCTCCACCTTTTCCTTACTCTGACTGTCATCATCAACATCGTCATTATCATTCAAGAAATTTAAAGTATTCAGTATCACAAAGTCAAACAAATCAGTTACCTATGCTAAACCTTCAAGGCTTTAACATTACAGATTCACAAATGAGAGTGAATAGATTTCTAGATCCAAAACATTACTACTGTTGTATTACATTCAATAATAAAACCCTAGTAGATCCATCAACACATAAAGTTGACTCAAGAGGTGAAACTCTAGGCGTAAATAAACAATACCCGTATAATTATCAACAGTATGTACCTGAAATAGACGATTGTGTATTATTTACTAATGCGACAATACCAAGTACACAGATAAAAAGTAAAAACAAGCATAATCCTACTAATACTGAACATTCTTATCGATTCCCAGTGAATATTATCATTAATTCCAAAGGGAATTGTTTTTCAGACAATAGATTATTATTAACCACAAAACCCATATTATATGTACCGGAGGTTAAGAAAAATACTCATGTAAAAAAGCTTGTACCACATCAGTCGACAAAAGCTAAACCAATTCATTCAGTTAGCTGTAAAAATACTAATAAACTAATCAAAATGTCAGTTAAAGTACAATGCGATGAAAATGATATTAAATTAACACTGAAACAGCAGCTACTGGCTGAAACACCAAAGACGCTGAACCCTACAAATGAAGTATTAAAACAAACACAAAAATTACCAGCAACTCACTTATCACCGTCTTTAATTTGGCGTTACAGTAATTTTCAACAATATACTCAACAAACAGACCTATCTGACGCTGACTATAAAGGTATTAATAGTAAAGTTAAACAGGTGTCACAGAAGCAACCATTAGTTCATGACACATCAGACATTATCGCTGATACTGCCAATTTATCCGGTAAAAAGTTGATTAATAGCACAAGGTCAACTAGAAAATTTAAATCTAACCATGAAAACAAATTTCATAAATCTAAACGAAAAATTCGTCCTGGTGAATTAACAATCTTTGAATTGGAAAAATACGGACAGTGCAGTCAAGGTGTTAATAAGAAAAATTGCCAAAATCTAAAAAGCAGTGAAATGTCTGGTAGCAGAAAAGCCAATTATATTACATCAATCGATGGTAAAATTAATAACAGTCAGGCAAAAAGTCTACTAAACAAAGTGAAAATGGCAGGATTGAATTCAAAAATGAAATTAGGTAAGTTTAATTTATGTTCATACACAGTGTAATCTTCAAAAAACATTACTGTATTTAGGAAACAGGAAAAGAAGTGCAAAACGAACAAACAGTAACTTGAATATTGTCAACTTACTAGACGTCGCAGCCATGGACAGAACTTGTGATACAGAAAATGTGGTAAGTTATACTAAATTATATTTTCATTCTATTTATGCAATAACTATCGAAAGGAACGTTACTACTGGATCATGTATTCGACAAGTACAAAGCTCTTTTAGATATCTCCAACTCTTTAAGTGGGAGTATTTGCAATCAGGACAGGAAAGAAATATATGACTAATGAGAAACATTTGAATAAGGATAATTATTTCAGAGCAGTGAAGACATGAGAAGATATCAAAAGGAATTTACAGATCAGTTTATGATGTGTGAGAATTATTACTGTGATGGATATTTACAAAGAATGTGAAGTTTTAACTTTCTAGTTAAAATTACTGCTCGTGATGGCAACATTTCGTGCAATTTTCGATAAGGCGAAAGCGAACGAATCTGTGACATAAATGCATATCATTCTATTTCACAGGTCCTTATCAGCTTCAGACTACAAGAAATTTCAATGGTTATAAACGAATGAAAATAGCATAGTTCCGTGTTGGAATGGTTGCACAGAAAATTTTATAAATTGAGTGGCTGAAGTGCCAAAACATAACAATTTACAGTCCATGTCGTCAGCAGTTTACGCAGAGCACAAAGTAGAACTATGAATCGTGATTCATAGAACCTTTTTTGAATATCCCACTATGTTAGACAGAAAGGCTCAGTGTTCTAGTAGAAGTTTTAAATAATGGTTGTTGGATTTCAGTCTACATGGGGATACCAGCAGTCGCTGGGGAGTAAGAACATCCAGCTGGTGAGTGCCGAGTGGGATGAAACGCGTGTATTGAATTCTACAACTAGCTAGCACCAACCAAGTTATACATATAATAGTGTTTACATTCTTGATCTCCTGATTTACACCATTTTCTCTGGAATCATCCTAATACTAAAGTATTTAGGTTTTATTCTCTTACAACCGCTGAAATTTCTTGTAGTCTGAAGCTAATGAAAACCTGAGGAATAAAATGATATGATTTGATGCTCTTCACTTGTGTGAAGAACTCTAATAACATTTCCAGGCTAATTTAAAAGCGAAAGAAAGGTGTAATCTAATCACTGATCAGTAGACTCTGACTCCAGGGACAAAAAGAAAATCCGACAAAGAATTCACGATTAAACCTTGACAAATGCTTCAAAAATTGTTATACGCTGATGAAATGGTGAGAGAATTGTGACTGACTTTTAACAGTATTACAAAATTAACTAAACTTTGACAGAAATTTAATTCGGAAAAAAAGATTGTCTTAATCTTATGTTTTTTTCTTATGCCTTTTCTATTCACTGCATTTATAATTGTCAAATTTACTGAATACTGGGATTATCGAAAGTGGTATTTCGATCGGAAAATAACTTGAAATGCGATCAATCAAAAAACTTTTGTCTACCAGAAGATTATTTCTATGCACAACAGCATATTCAGCCTGCTATGAATTTAGGCAAACTGAGAGATAAAAACATTCGTAAGAAATCAGTTATTCCTAAGACGAATTACTTGCAAGGAAGTAATTTAAACAACTTTCATACTGAAGAGACAATGGTAGAAAATCGTTTGGAGAAATTCAACTGTATGGAGCATAATAATAACCATACAATTATACCTCAGACAACTAAAATACATTCATGTATCAGTTATGTAACATTCAAGAAAGATGAATCAACAGATGCCAGTCAGTATGTTTATAACTATCCAGTAAAAATGATTCAACCTGAAACATATTACTTGAATAATCGCCTTAATACTGATCAAAAAATGAACATCATCTCTGACCAGTATCAGACTACAGAAACAGCCCAGTCGTACAGTGGGGAAATAGAATTGGGTATATGGTGTCTAAAAGTATGTAAACATTTGAAAATGTTGAAAGGTTTTGTTACAATTAATACAGGTTATACCGTAAACATTCCAGAAGAAATATTCACCTGCATACTGTTTCATTTTGAAGTGAATGAAACATGGATTAGTAGCACCGTAACTGGTAAAAATGCATCAACTGGAATGAATCAAGTGAATAATTTAACGAAATGTTTAATTACACTTCTAAAGCCAATCATTTACATTAGTCAACAAATTATATGCTTCAATGATAACATGAAAATGAAGGGTATTATTCATGCGAATAACTTTTCATTAATGGATATGACTGCTAAAGCAAATATTATCAAGTGTTCACAAGACAAATATCTGTCTGACACTCATTTTATTATTTTAAATGAAATTACATTTAGCAAATCAAATGTTACCATCATTAAAGCAACAACTTCGAAGCCAGCAACGAAAGGTTGTAGAAAGAACGGTAACAAACTTCAAGGCGTTAAAATATTGTTTAAAAATATGATGAATTTCAGAACAAAAACAAAACATCATGTTAGTTGTGGGACAAAGAATTTACAAGCTTTCTCATTTGCTCTAAACCACTATTATTATGCAATAGAAGAAGTAATTATCTTTGAAATGGATATGATCTGCAGTTCAGAATACTGTTCAGAAATGCATTGTTGTCTTTATCAGCTGATAATCACTTCAATTGAACTTAACGTATGCATTACCAATCAAAAAGTACATAAGTATAAACTATATCATCAGAAAAGTAGAGAAGTTAAAGAGGATATATTGAAAAGCAACAAGAATGAGCACAACGAGATGGAATACAACCATAGAAATGCTGTTCCTTCATATTTCAACAAATGGTCAAATTTACTTTCAGAATTTCATGGAATGTATATCGAAAGATATTGTACAAATTCTGTATGCTATCATTTGTACACCAATGAAGTGAACAGTAATGTAAAAGTGAATAATTTGGACTGTGTTGAAGTTTTACTAGAACAAAGTTCATCAACGACATCTGTGTATTTTGATATTGAATCAAATACAATGAAAGAAAAGGTCAAAACATTCACAACAAAGGGAAAGTCAATAAAAATGTTAAATGTAACCGAATATCCAGTGTTGTTCAATAAAAGTACGCAGACAATGAGTAAAAACAATCACTATAATGTCACAAGTCAGAATGCATCCCCGCATTGTTCCACTGATAATTATAATAATTTCGGAGATAAAAACGAATTATCTGATAAAACTGTTCTACTCTCAAGTGAAAGGAAAAGATCAAGAAGTTTAAATTTATCTGTTGAATTCTCAACTAGTATATCTCGAAGTATATCAGCTACTGAAATAACCAGGGATGAAAGTGTACAGTCTGTTTGCTTTAGTCATAGTTTCGATAACACCATACAAACCACTTCTGTCCTGATGAGTGATACTACTAGCAATAAAACTAACAGAAGTAACAGTTATAATTATCAACATTTTAATGATGATAGTTATAGTGATGACGCAAGAAAACGATTAACAGCACTTAGAACATCAAAACAAAAAGACACAAATAGGAAAGATGGAGAAGTGTCTCAAACTTCAGATTACCATAGTGACATAAGAACATATGGAATTGAAAAAGAAACTCCGGTAAGTTAATATTAACGAGTTGTTTTCATTCCTTTTCTTTGATTATATGATCCTAATGCGTATTGCTTGGTCACAGCCTAGACTGCTTGAAAAATCATGTGAACATTATTAAAGAGACTCGAACTAGCATGACACATAGAGTGTTAATCAGTTTTTATTGTTTCTCCAGACAGTGTTGGGCAGGGATCAAATCTGTCTTGAAATTAATCAAATCAATAGAAGGCTAACATCTTGTCATTAGTAGTCGAATATATATAAATAAGTTCATTTTCAGAATGTCTAAAAGGACTGCTTTGGTTTAAACCTTTACATAGACTAGAATATTGAGAGTACCCTAGATACTGGGAAAGTAAGTAGACCATAAACATGGCTTGTTCACAAGAATAAAACGGTTGTAGCATAAAAAGTTACCACTATATATATATATATATATATATATATATATATATATATATATATATATATATATATATATATATATATATATATATATATATATATATCACTGTGACTGTATTTAGAGAAGAAAAAATGGATGATCACAAGTAAGAATATCAAAATCCGTCTTACAGATGCTTTTAACTGTGGTTGGAAGCTTAACAAAAAGCTTTGAATTAAGCTATCTCGTTTACAAACAAAAAGACATTCTTTGATTGAACACTAAGTAGTCTAGTCCTTTGGGTGGTGCAGAGTGAATTCCATCAGTGAAGTTTGCAATGTGAGTGACGCGAGTTCAAATCTTATAAGAGATATGAATTTCTTCAAGATACACTTTGATGACGAGTGTCAACAGGCATGAAACCTAGGTTCAATGCTTCCTGCCGTCTAAAAAAGAATTCTAGTAAGAAATCCTGACGAAAACTATCATTTTGTGAGCTATTATCCTAGACGACTTGATTTCAAAGAGTCAATAAATTTACTAAAAAAATCCTGTCAGTGTGTTTAGCTTGTGAGAATGCAGCTGATTTGAGAACAGAGAGCGTAAAGAATCGCTGACGAAATGAGAGCCCTTGAAGACAGAAATGAGAGGCAACTATCCCAGTTGGTTGGTTCTTTGTCAGTAGTATTCAACTATAAAACAAAACGGGTAGGTGCATGGAATACTCGGTCTTTGATGGTAGCAGGATATGACACCTACTCTACCCAAGATAATGCAAGTTGCGAATACAGTTACTCAGTAATGAAACTGAATACAGGTAAAGCTTTCTCACCAGTTGACTGTAGTAAGGGGTCATACACAATTGGATTCCATCCCTGTGATATAGAGTGTGATTGTTGTAGGTTAACTTCCTCTCAGGATTATGGACGATTAATACCAGTTTTCCCTGATTTTCACTGGTCATTTAGCTTCTGTTTTTTGTGATGAGAGTTATCTATTGTTAAACTGTACATTGATTTGTGCCCCACCACAACACCCGCAGTCATATTAGTTAGTTAACGTAATAAACCAGTCACTAGATGAAGTTTATATTTCCCAGTAAATGAAAAACAAAATCGTCACAATTAATAATAAATTTACTACTTAAATATTCCTTAATTTATAGTTATACAATGAATTAATTCATGACAGTTCAAAAGTAATTAATATGAAATCATCTGTTACAACTAAGAAATGTTCAGAGTCACTGTTAGGACACAAACAACAAAAGCCCAAAAACAGTGAGCACTTGGATTATAACGAAATTACAAAGGGAAACTGTGAACAGCCAAAAGCATTTGGTGAAGTTACAACTAATTCACCAAAGATAGTATATATCGATGTGGATTCAGCTAATTTATCCGCTGAATGATATGAAACATAAAATAGAATAATTAGAAGGCAAAAAGAAATAAGCTGACATCCTCAGAATATCATTGTGATGCTGCAACAGGAGTCGGCTGTTAAGAAATAATATTTAATAGTAAAATGAGAAATAGTCCATTAAATTTATATTTGTTTGCTGTGAATTCTATTTGGACATATATATTAATTTCAATACACTGATAACAAATTTATGGTAAATATAGCATATATTTGTACGTTGTTGCTCAATTTTTCTAAATTATTTAACCATCTAGGCACAACATATGAAGTGTCATAACTTTTTGAAATCTTAGCCTAACAATAAAATCGGATAAACAATATTATGGTGTAGTGATCAGTCCTATAGTCAGCTATTCTAGATTTATAAAATGAATACTTCAAAAGCACTAAGTTGAACTTGCCCCGGGATTAATGCATATTTATGTCGCCTAAAATCAAACAGACATTTCTACATCCTTTTCTGTATGATTATAAGTTTAGGGTAGCCGACGTTGTATACCTTCCATTACCTTTAGGGATTCATATGACGGGCAAATTACTATTTTTCCTTGTGTATTTAGGCAGTTCTACGAAGGCACTTGTGATCAAAACTGTGACCTCCATGGATTTCTCACTTCAAAGAGCTATAAAACATAGCAATAATTAATTGCTGCTCGATACACTGATTGTTACACAGGTAGTCAAATATCATGAGATTTCCAGATTTAGAACTAGTTAGCAAACATAAATTGAACCTTTTGTACCCGTGCTAGTATTTTGCCAGCTACTGGACTATTCGGGCAGATAAAACATACAGAATACGTAAAGTACTGTCGGTCAGTTTACCTCATATTCTAATCAAAAGATGAAGGAGAAATACTGAAATTAAGCGTAATCCTAGATTAGAAAGATAGGTCTCTTCATGAATACAACTGAACACTGATTTTAAAAGATTCTTCACAGAAACAAAAGTTTGATAATAAGACATTTATGGATTATGTGGGTAAAGAATTAAGTGATGAATGACCGTTAGTGATAGGAAAACCTGGCTTCCGGATTATTATTAGTTCGGCTGAGATACCGCTTAGTCAGTACCTATTTGTCAAGTTCTTTAAATCCTTTTAACAGCATGCATTCCGGTCAAATAGCTCAACTAAGGTGGTGTTATACAGATAATGTGTTCCAATGGAATGCTATTCTCGCATATTCCCACAGTTCAATACAACATTAGCCACAGAATACGATATATCTGTTTGCACATTCTGTTTCATGTTGTTTAGTGTAAGCCACAATCACACGTTCAATGATTGGTTGGAGGATATAAACTGTATAGATACAAATAGCTGTTTGATTACTTGGAAATATATCTTGGTTTCCATGTCTTGCCTTTTGTCGTTACACAACCACTAGATAGATTAGGATGGTGAGAGTCTACTAAAGACACCCTGAATAATTAACGGCGCTCAAGTATTGGTTTGTAGGGATTTGGTTGATTGGTTACAGGATTTCATCTTGAGCTGACATTGATTAGAGAAACATTGGAAAACCTGGGAGTACTGGACAGCTGTTTCGTCCTAGTTTGGGACTCTTCATCAGTACGCACCCACCGGAGTTCAGACCCAGGACCTTCTGGTTACAAGGCGAGCTCGTATACCATTAAGCCACTGGGACCCGATCCAACGGCCCATGAATTCTAACTTCTGCCAATTCACAACATAGCGCAACCGCTAGCCAATGTCATATTTAGTGAAGTTGAATGCAGGTGAAGCTGTCTGGCGGACTGACAGTGCTTAGGAATCATGCACAACTGGATCTTAATCTTGTGATACTGGATAATTAATGCCAAAACTACCTACTTTTTATTGGTTGTTCAGCTGCTACTGTTTTGTGAAGAAGGTTTCCGAGTTGCCTATTGTGTTACTATTAAATATTCATTTATTTGCCCCTAATTTATCCCATTTCGACGCTGATCCCCTTATTCGTATCGAAGGTTACTTCTGCACGTATTGTTTTATTTTTCCCATCGACTCTGTGAAACGCACCATCGTAAGTGACTAGGAATGTATTACTATTATTCCCTTCGGTTCCGAGTGGAACATAGGGCTTCAACAACACATCTTCTGCCATTCTCTTGAGCTGCGTCCTTGATTATCCATAATTTCTCGTCTCTTCCTCATACAATCTCCTCCATGTCACCCTCCCACTGACGACCCGCTCGTCGCTTCTCATTTGGACTCCACTTGAGGGCATGGCACGCAATGTCATTCTACGATTTCATCAATGTATGACCGATCCATCTCTATTTTCCCCTACATATTTGTTGAGCAATCGGCCCTTGGTTGGTTTGTTCACAGAGTTTCTTGTTATTAATTCTTTCCGACTATTTGATCTTCAGTATGGAGCCAGCGAAGGCAGCTGTTGATGAAAGTCTGCGGATGCGATGAAATTTAAATAGCATTAGTGAGATTTTTTAAACTTTACACTTATGTTTATCTATAGAAAGACTAGGTAAGTGAGCACGTCTGCTAACCGGATGACCTTAACTCAAATCACCTTTTCTTTGATCAGTATATTCATTTTCTTTCAGTTAAATTAATGATTTAGAAGGCTCATAAACATCAATTAGGAAGAAATCAACAAGTGATTACACAAATTCCATTTAAATGCCATGATTACTAAGCAAAATTCTACTCATTTCCTTAATATATTTCTGAAGAATAATCACGATATTTAGAGAAAACAGACAGACCAGAAGAATAATTATCCCCAACATCAGTCTAATACATAAGCACTTTTCAGAATCGAATTCATTCCATTCCGCAATTATTGTACGACATAATTTGCCTACAGAAGTCTTAATCCTGGCAATTAATACATACGACATATAGTTTGGCCTCTATCATAATCAAAATGCAGGTAACATATCTCAAACTGTATCTCTTTGAAATACAAAAGCAGGAGTTATATAATAGCGATAAATACAAACAGTTGTCCTTCGAGCGAAGACAGAAACACATCAAAAAGCATTCTCACATGTGAAACAAATTCTTAATGAGCCACATTTACATGAACATAGGGAAACAAAAATAAGATATACAGCCTTAAATAGTGAGAGTTCACGTATGGTTGTGGTGAGAGCTGGCTGCAAGCTAAAATTATAGACAACAAATTAACGTCAGTGCTCACGTCCCGAATCAGTACCATGAGAAAAACAATAACAGAGCTTAACCTTGAAAAAATCACCAGCCAATCGCAGGGGAGTCGACGTGTGGAAATATGATTCGCAGATATATGGCTTGATTTTCTGAGAAACGGTCACAAAGAGATAACAGCAAGAAAACAGCCAATCAGAAGAGGTTGCTTCTCCGCTAACAATAATGTACATAAAAATCTGTAAATACTTCTTGATTGTCTTAATAAACGATCTGTTGCCTGGCCCTTGTCTTCTGTCGTTACATGGTTAACTAATCGCCACCTGACAGGCATAATTGGCATGATAGAAGACTACATCTAATTGGTTGTCTGTCAGGCTATTTATCTGTTGCGTTTAACAGTTATGATTGAATGAATACAATCAAGTAGTAGACTATGGCGATACAGGCCAACGGTACTAGCTGACTGAGTAAATCCAAATGGATGAAAAAGATTTTAAAGTGGTAATATTTTGGTCTAAACAAGTGAATCGTCATATCTCATGGAGTAAGTTGATAAATACAGAACGAGAGTCCCTATATGCACTGAGATTTCTTATGCAAATAGTCTGTTAAGCTTCCCAAAAAAATGAGGCGGTTAGTACACTTAACCATTTCACTCCCTATCCTTAGGCTAGTAGTCGGTGCAGACCAGTCCCACAGCAGTATTTTACATTTGACAGGATCAAGTCTCAGGCTGAGATGTTCAGAAGACTACATTTTATCAGTGTCTTTACCTAGGACTATATCATCTGCACACTTTAAATCTATGAGACTCTTCAGCAAATGGAGATTTGCTTCCTTTCTTATAAGCGGACATGATTACCGACATACACCAGTCGAATGAAAATATTTTGTATCTCTACAAACTGGCTGATAAATTTGTTGGTCTAGTCAACACCCTAAACACCTCTGGAGTTAGACCGCCTTAACCTACTGTTTCGTCAAGCTTTCAATTAGAGACAGCCTGTACAAACCTGGCAAAAGTTAGAAGATGTAGGTCTGCGCCGTCCAAATGACTGGCAATTGTAGGCCAGTTGAACTACTTCATAGTGTTCGACCCAAAGATTCCGTTTCTCCTGTTAAGATTTTATTGAAGTTGCATCCTTCTCGGAAAAAATTTCACCTGATATAGCTTTTTTAGAACCCGCTTCTTTCATGAATCTTAATAACTGACAATTATGAAGAATACAGATATCAGACTAACATAACCTACTGTTGGTGTCATTTCCATCTCTTTTGCCGCCTACCACTCTCCGCGTTGGTTGTGAAGACTTTTAGTCCGCTTACGTTTGACCAGCCTTCTCTACTTAGTATGTTCAAAGCTAGTCGGGAGCAGTTTTTCAGTATCAGTCGCTTCGGATGAAGCCGCGAAATTCCGTGCCGCTTACTAACTCCTGGTTGCATATTAGTAGTCTTCACTACTGTTATCACAGTAGAATGTGAATATTTCTATTTTCTCATGATAGCTGTTGGTATCATGACTTGCATTTAGTTATCTCCACCCTAAATACAGATTTCATATTCACACCGAAAATCTGGACATAAGGTTTGGCATCTGAAAATTATCTACATCTATCCAGTTACAGGCATACACATACCAACGCATGGCTGGAATCTGTGCAGATGTTTCAGAAAAATAGACAGTGTTTTACTGACTCTTTCTATTGATAAAGCATGGCTAAGCAATCAATTCATGTCTTGAAATTGGCTGTCACCTAGTAAGGTGACTTCATATTTGAAATTAGTGTTGATCAGGAACATGTGGTAACCTGAACAAACTTGTAAGAGACTGTCACCGTTGTTGATTAGTCAGCACTATATAACCTCACTGTCCTTTTCTGACTCGTCCAGTTTTCCTAAACCAACATCAAGAATGGTTGAAAATATGTCCAAGTTTGAGTATTTTGTTTTAGGCAGTGAATTGGACATCTAAAAAAGAGACCCATTTTCCGAACTGCATTTACAGGTGCATAAAAGGAGACTGAGAAAAAGCATCGATGAATGTTGCTACTATTTTTGGCGCTAAGGTCCCATTAAGCCGTACATTACCCGGTTAACTGTACACCAGGATACAATCAAGCAGTGAGTTGTCCACCCTTGATTTTACTGTAACGACAAGTCCACTAAAACCAGTCAGAGAATTTCCTGACATCTTAAGGGCAGATTCTATATTTCGACCATGTGACGCTAAGTCGACTTTCAGCTTGTATCCTTAACTGATAAGTATCCATATATATATGTGTGTATATGGTGGTCTCTCTTTCTATTGTTCTCTTAGTCTGTGACCATTTCACTTTGATGAACCTGTCTCCTTTAACAATGTATATTCCCCTTATATTATATATAATATGAGTGTTTGTTGACAGTCCGTTGCTTGGTGACATATATCCATATTATATGTGTGGTTGTTGACATGTCTGCTATATTTTGCTATGTATATATGGATCGACACTCCATTATAATTAGCCATTCATGTTAAGACTGTCTATTGATTTGTTCACACACTTGTCTGGACATTCATATATATTTCGCTCACACAATCTTTTGTGACACTTTGGTGTGATACCACTTATTGCTTCTCCTTGTGTTTGGAGAATAGAAGTATCATCGCAAACCTAGTGGTCTTCTGATTTCCGCCTTCTTGCGTCAGGACTATTAGATTCTCGACCAGTACATAATAATAATTTGGCGACGAGTACATAACATTAACTCAGAGACACAACATACATCCAGATGATAGAGTTCGTTAACTTTTAGTTATATTGATGTACACAACGCCGAGAAAATAAACTGAAAGATAAAAAGCGTTCAATTCAAAACACTGTTAGTAGATTTAATTACCCTGAAGAATTCATGTTTGGTTCAGTATGAACTAGGTAATTTACTACTTTTAAGTAAAAGAAACATTTAATGTGCGAAAATACTACACATATTTATCACAATGTTTTTAGAACGAAAAAAGTATCTGGTTAATACACGTCTGACGTAAAATGTTAAATAATCAAGACAAACCTATCTATATACAAGGGCTTTATTTACAAAGATAAAATGATCATGGTGGATTCAAGTAACCACCAGATATAAAAGAAATACCTTCTTTTGATACATTGTTATAGCTGTTTAAAATAATTGTACGGTTTTTAACAGGAATAGGTCCGTCTAAAACTGTAGATGTAGCATTTAGTAAGGGATTAGATGAAGCCTTCCGATCACGCAGCCACTTTACAACCAAACCAGGATCATCACGTCTTAAAAGACTAGGAAATAAACCAAGTCCACTACGACGAGCAACAGTCTGTGGTGAATCAAACACAGACCGGATATATACAGACCTGGTTTCCTGTTTTTGAGTATCCGCGTTGAGTATCCTCGCATTCAACGACTGCCTGCGAATAGGTGGGCCATAGAAACCAAGACCTGTGCGAACATTAGGAGGTAAACTACCTTCACAAGTGATGGGATCTATCAGTCCTGAAATAAATTTCGAACCATCCTTTTTGACTCCAAGCGCAGTACCAGGAATCCAACCCATGCGTTCCAGAATTTTCCCGCCATAGCCCTGTGAAAAAATTGGTCAGACAGAAAAAAATCATAATACACTATTTCCATCTGTTTGAAAGTTTAAAGAAGGAAACGGTATATGTCTGATGTAGCAACGCAAGGTAATAGACAAATAGGTGGGAAAGTGAAGAATGTAGGATGTTCTGAAAAGTGTATGTTTTATCAAGCGTAGTGTTGGGTATGGGTATGTTTACTGATAGAAAGAGGCCCCTATGTGACTTCTTAAATTTCAGTAAGACAAACATCTGTATCAATAAACGTCGGCTTTAATATATTTGCCTCCTTCTGTGTGAAGACTGATAGTTTCTTCACACTGAGAACACAACACATTCTCATAACTTCAGTCCGAAACGCAACCCATAAAGTGGTAAAGTAGTATTGAAAGTGGTGTTTCTACAGACATCCGTGATCAGTACTTGTTAATCATGAAGTTTATATGCATTTTCAGCAGAAAATCAAAACTACTTTATTCTTCTAGCGCTGAGTTACGTGTTTATTAATGTACTTAGGCTTACGCTCTTCTGTGTGAGGAAAACACCTCCGCTAATTAAATATAATGTTTATAACTTCATCAAATAATTTTGTGTCACCGCAGAATGACATTTCAGGTATATCCGAAGTATTAGGCGCACATTCTCATTTCTAATCAGATGTGAAACAAAAGCCTCGACAATCTAAGTAGTGATGATTTCTGATATGTTGAATACACTGACCACGAGGAATCAGTTATTCTCGATAAAATCATGTAATACAAAATATTTTTAGGTGTGAAGATCAAATGAAGTATGAACAGATTGCAAAACATATTACCACAAGTCCGAAACGGATACTCTGGGATAATATACGAGTCGGTTACAGTAGAAAAAAGACAAATTAATTCGGATGTTGTTTGCAAATGTATCACGTGCAAATCAGAATAGTCAAGCACGTCAACAGGTGAACACTCAAATAAAGATGAATGGGTATCAAATCCTTTCTTAAAACAAACTCACGAGATAAAGCTGAGTATATTATCAAAAACCTTGTAGAGTCCTAGAAAATAAATTTGTACAGTTTTTGGTAAGTGTCAAAAATGGACACACTGTCCATAACTTTTGTTCAGTCGACTTCCTCGTAAAATGATAATAACTTCGGCGTTCGAATGGAAATATAGTCGTGCTGTCTGCCGTCTTCTCACTGCTTCAAACTGTTTACCTGCTCCACTAATACTCGTGTCATATTTTCTGGAAATTGCAGGAACATCTCATCCTCGTTCGAAAACTATTCTACAACCGGCAGACAATTTCTATCAGTGGGTAAGACCCTAGCAGTGAAACAGATCTGTGGATTATATTAATTTGTAGCAGTGGACTGTATTTTTATAATATACTGTTCCAATATTCTTTCATTAACTTGGATTTTTATTCCGATATTTCGTACATTTATCGAACTCATTCTTAATTCCCCTACACCTCTGTTACCTTGGGAATTGTATCTGCACTGTATTTATTATTAATTTTTAAAAAATAAAATAAAGCAGCATTCGGGATAAGAGATGTTGCCCACATCCGGTTCCTAATAACTAAACAAGGGTAAAACTTGTCATATAAATCAGATTTAGGCACTTTAACTTCAATGAGTAAAAAGTTAAGGAAACCTAAGTCCAGACAACAAAACAGAAAATACTACAATAATTAGAAGGGACTAACTTTGCTGATTACTTCATTCTTAAAAGCAGCACATGGATCGTAGGCAAGATCTCTAACATCCATGGATTCTCTTTCACGATTTATGTCAATAAGTTCGGTTGTATCTCTCTCTCCGCCAATAAATCCACTTGGGGTTGGACCAGTCCCCAAATCAGTTGGAACTTCATAAGGTTGCATGTCAATATCCCAGTCAAAAGAGGAAGGTTCGTCGAAAATCTCTTCCTTTCTCAGTGGATCCAATTTTTCCCATGTACGTTGATCCGTATGGAAAACCAGACCTGAACCACCCTTTTCCCAGACGAGTTCAACTTTACTTTCATACTTTAGTTGTGCCTTGTTTCCTCTGTCTAAATTGTATGGATCATCATGTAGCGCCTCAAAACGATCCCATTCTTCAGGAACATCATCATCACTATCAATATCCACCACATTAGCAAAATTGTCATTGGAAGTTGGATCTGACTGCAGCAGAAAATTAAAAATAGTTTTATGAGACTTCAGTGATGCAAAAAGAAACATACTACATGAAATAAGACATTTAAGATGAAGGACTGGTTGAAGACAGAGGGATATTTAATTACTGTGATAAGTGCTGTAACACTGGATTACCTCAAAATATCCAATCATATTTTTTTCCAAACGGAGATTATAGTGACTCCTAGAAATATTTAGCGATAAGTTAAATCATTCGTCACATGAAAAAGTAAGTGCACATAAAAAGGGCATTCATGTTTCCTAGCCACTTTAACAACCTGATTATTCATCCTTTGGTTGAGCAGCAATAAAGAAGATATAGGCATACTGTAATAAGCATATTTAATGACATCCTAAAATCAATGAGCAACATGCATCCTTCTGTGCATTGTTTTATTATCTTTCTTCACTGAACATACACTTTAATTTGAACATTTTTTGATTTCCAAAAGAAACTTTGATGAATGTTCACCTCAAATGCAGTTATCTACTAATAACAAAATTTACTACTCGATCGCTTAAGTAGGTAGCCAGAACTCCAGTGTTCTCAACTGACTCTAATCAGTTAGCTGGAGAAATGGTAATTTTGTAGCTCAGTTAGATACTTTTGATGTCATTATGTTTTCTGAGATGGGTGCATTAGCTACAAAGGTTTCAACGTCCTTCTGGACAAATTTTCAGCGATAACTTCAATACGAATTCACAGCTACACCAAAAACGTCCCAGTTATCTTAATCCACTTAACTTCACTAGGACAAGAAGAACTTTGCAACGAAATCATTAGCCTCAGTGAGGATAACACCAAAAACCACTGACTAGCTCCGTCTCAAAAGAGTGAAAGAGTAGTTACGTATTTAGATCAATTTGTATGTGTTTGCAAAAAGTATTGGACGACGTGGTTGGTCTTCAACTTCTCATAACAGTCAGGAACATGTCTTGTGTTCCACCAATCCGATTCACTTGTAGTGAAAATTTATTGAAACAAGATAGGCTTAAAGACTCGTCTATAGCAAACAGTATTTGAAAGTCAGTCACCACTGACAGATCCAGTGTCTAGTAACGTAGTACGAATAATTAAAGTGTCTTTTTACTTCTGAACAATTAGTTAATCAATACAAAACTCCAGCTTTGGATAATGGAAGCCATTATTTTTTTCTCAGCAGTCATTTGATATCGGAACTGCATAATCCAAACATACAGTTTGACGATCACCTTGGCGGCCTGTTCGAATTTTTGGGCCAGCTACTATAACATCTACATTTTGCATCCATTCTACTGTTTACCAAAATTTATTTATCACCTAAATATGAATTCTAACAGAATCATTTACTCTCGTAACTTTATTAATCATTTACGACCAAATGACTTTCATATTCCAAAGAAATCAAGGAGGAAAGCTCTTGGTCACACAAACATAGTCAAATTTCCCACTCGACTTGACAAAACACTCGATCTAGTTTTTACTAATGACGAAGGAAAATCAAGCAGGCTTTAGACCAGGTAGAGGGTTCATAGATCATATCTTCACTCTTCGACAGATTCTAGAACATAGACACACCTTTCGGCGTCCAACAATTGCCATATTTCTTGACTTGAAGGCGGCCTTCGACTCCGTGGACCGAAAAGTACTATGGCAATGTCTGACTGTGAAGGGAGTGCCAAGAAAGTACATCGCACTAATCAAGGCACTCTATTCAAACTCACGTAGTCGTGTAAGGGCTTATGGGGAATTGTCATCTGAATTAGTAACAACCAGTGGTGTCCGACAGGGATGTCCACTTTCCCCATTTCTGTTTAACTTCATCATAGATATGCTAATGGAAGTATCCTTAACTGAACGTAGTGACTTAGGAATCGACTTGTTACCAGGGAATAATCTAATGGACTTAGAATATGCAGATGACATAGTCCTGTTAGGGGAGGATGCTGACAAAATGCAGAGTCTTCTGAACACCTTGAGCAGCAATCTTCGTATGTTTGGCATGCGATTCGCCCCTGCAAAATGTAAGATGCTGCTACAGGACTGGACGCCGTCAACCCCTAACTTAGTGATAGGGAGTGAAGTGATAGAACATGTTGACCACTTCACCTACTTGGGAAGTTGTATTAGCACCAACGGACTGATTGGCGATGAAATCTCAGCACGGATCCGAAAAGCTCGAGCTGCTTTCGCTGACTTACACCATCTCTGGCGTAGGCGTGACATCCGGTTATCAACCAAGGGACGTGTGTACTGCTCATCAGTTCGCTCCGTCCTTCTCTATGGCTCTGAAACATGGCCAATACGCGTTGAAGACATGAAAAGGTTGACTGCTTTCGATCATAGATGTCTGCGATCTCTGTCTCACGTTAGGTGGTTTCACAAGATAAGTAATGTTGACGTTAGGCGTAGAGTGTTGGGCAAAGAGGGAAAATCAATCGACGAGGTTATAAAGTTACATAGACTAAGATGGCTAGGTCACGTGGTGCGCATGCCTAACCACCGCCTCCCCCGACGGGCATTGTTAGCTGATATAGGTTCAGGTTGGAAAAGAGCCAGTGGTGGCCAAACAAAAACATGGCATCAATCCATGAAATCCTTGACAGTTAAACTGAGTCAGGTAGGGAGATGCAGACTCCCGGGTTGGGGCCCTCGGGACTCTAGGAATCAATGGCTGGAGACAATAGGTGACATGGCTCAAAATCGTTGTCAATGGCGCAGATGTATTCAATCTCTGTAATCTTTCATATTCCTTTCTACCATTACCCATTCTGTTTCACTCCTATATTTGTCAAACTCTATTAATTCTCTCCACTCATCTTCTTGTCTACCTCTGTGTGCTATTTGGAACGTGGCAACTCGAACTGCTGCACTTCGGTGCGAAGTTCTATGTTGAATCCAGACAGACTAATGACGAAGGAGTATATGAAACACGTAGACGTTCACCGATACTAAACTCAGATCACTGCATTGTCCGTGTTTTACCAAAAATATGCAGCAAAACACATATTAAAGTCTTCTCACACCTGTCTATGAAAGCACAACAAAGATGCTACACATCTGACAACCTACTCAATCTAAGATGCATGTTAAAAAATACTAACTGGGATTTATTCTATGAAAGTGCATTAGATGACTCAATCACCAATATAACGGATTATCTTAAGTTCTGCCTCGACATATGCTGTCCCAGACAAACACTGTTCAAACGCCTCGACCGCTTCTCGTCTCCCCATCTCAAACAACTTCGCAGGCAAAAAGAAATGTTATATAAATGCAAAGACAAGTTAGGACTTAAAAAGATTAATGCTCAAATCAAATCTGAAATCAAAAATCTTAATGCTATCTACAACCAAACACTTTTATCATGCAAATCTCCCATCAGAATGTGGAAATTTTTCAATGAAATTACTGGCAATAGTAAGCGATGTAATGTTTTTCCCTCTTGTGATGTTAATGCTCTTAATCAGTCTTTTATACGCTCTCCTTCTACTATAACCACTTCTAACGTTACTAATCTTGTAGCTGATAACTTCCAGGACTTTAACAATCTTGATGTTTTAAAATGTCTTAAAACTCTTAAGCCCTCATGTAGTCTTGGCCCTGATGGCATACCTGCATATGTTCTAAAACAATGTGCAGATGCTTTATGTTCGCCTCTAACTAATATCCTAAATGCTTCTTTCTCCGTAAACGTTGTACCTGTTCCATGGAAAGACATTAAAATAGTCCCTGTCCCTAAACCTGGAAACAGCAAGAACGTAAAGTTCAGACCCATTGCCATCACTTCCCCGTTTCTAAAGCTCATGGAAAAACTAGTACTTCTTAAACTCGAACCCTCCCTTAAAAGCTTCGAAGACCCCAAACAATTTGCCTACAGACAGGGTAGGAGTACTTTAGACGCTGCAGCCGTCTTACACAACAGTATTGTCTCATCATTAGATAAAGGTGCCAAATATGTCCGCTGCACATTTCTTGACTTCACTTCTGCTTTCGACTCTGTACCTAGATGTCTCTTGCTAAATAAGCTCTCCATGACATAATTTATGGTTGGAAACAATTGGTGACATGGCTCAAAATCGTTCTCAGTGGCGCAGATGCATCCACTCCTTGTGACTTATGATCTCCAATGAAACTGTTTTGTTTTTCTTTATTACTCCTTTGTCTCACACCTCTGCTTACTGTCTCTATTATGCTTTTCTTGTACTTTTTTCTCTTGCTTCGCGTGCTACTTGGAGTGTGGCGACTTGAACTTCCGCACATTTGTGCAAAGATCTATGTCGAAAACAGACAGACACAAACCGAGTCCTGGGTCACTAACTGGTTGCATTCCTACTTTTCAAACAGAATGCAGTACACCGTATACAAAGGCGAATCCTCCCCTGTTGTGCTCACTGAAGCTGGTGTCCCCCAAGGTGCTGTACTCTCCCCACTTCTCTTTTCATTCTTTCTACATGACCTACCATCTTCAAATGACATTAACTTTGTCAAATATGCTGATGACCTAACTGTATCTTTACCTGTCAAATGTCAAAGTGACTGCTCTAAACTAAATGGCTTCTTATCAGAATTCAGCCAATGGTCCAAGGAAAACGGTCTAGCCTTAAACCTCTCCAAATGCCAAACACTTAATTTCACCTTTAGGCACAAATCTGACCTAAACAAACTGGTTAGCACCCATGAGGTGTGCAACATAGATGGCACTGAAATTGAAACCAAGTCGGAAATTAAATACCTAGGCGTCACTCTATCTTCTGATTTTTCCTGGTCGTCTCATATCTTGACGATTTCCAAGAAAATATTCCGTCTTACCTTCTACATCAAGAAGTTAAGACATTCTGGTGTAACCCAACCCTTACAACTACAATTTGTTAACCTCCGTATTCTGCCTATTATTCTCTATTGTTCCCCGTTAGTCTTTCCTGGGCTATTGAAGAAAGACTATACCTTATTACGTAGGATGTTAAAGGTTGTCAGCAGGGTAAGCAGTTTGCCACTTAGCCAGCTTGTCAATATTCTGGTTCACAGGCACATGGACTCATGTGAAAAATGGGCAAAATCCATTTTATCTGACTCACAACACTCTCTACATTCACAACTCTCCCCATGTATCTCTTCAGGGAAAACCAGAAGCCTATATAGTAAGTACAAAAACTCATCCATACCCTACCTAGCTCGTGTTCTGTGCGATAAAGAAAGCATTAGGCGTGAAACCTTTAACTTATTAAATAGTCAGTGGAACAATGGATCTCGTCTTTCCAACTCACACCATTTACAGGTACAACAAATTTTCCCTCTACTTTTTTTTTCTGTATTTATTTTTGTTATGTGCTGTTTTGTTTCTCTCTTCCTTGCAAACTCTACTTAAAACATTCTTGTTCGTTCTTTCACACTCTGTATATCTCGACCATTTTGCTATCGTTTACGCCAGTAAATATGCTAGTAGTATCTACTTTACTAACACCTTCAAACAAACTGTTTAAAATTTTGGCTTTGCTACCGACATGCTAATATGTTGTTGTCAAAACTGACTGAGATAATTTTAATCTATGTAGAGCTTTACTTATTGTTAATGTACTAACTGGATGCAATATTGTAGTAAAATGCTGAGAATTCCATTCTGTATCACAAGTACTGATTTGGAATAAAGCTATTATCTTATCTTTGGATTCTCAACATGACAACAGTTAGAATAACGAATAAGCACTGAAGCGAGTTGATCGTATCTTCAACCTACAAACTTTACTTAATGAAAAACAAAAACCCAACAAGCCCAGAATAAGTTTACGCTATCCTTTGAGATAAACAAACATACCTGAGTGTGAACGGTCGAGTTGTAAGTCGAACCACACTCTAAACCCTCTGGAGAATAGTGTGTTTCTACATTGCTGACAACTGAATTGCCATAATCAAAAGGTACGGCACCGTATTTCCGGTTTCTGGCACAGACAGAGAAGTTCAAACCAAGTTTCGAAATGAGAGAGCTCTCCAGTTTGCATTCCTTTATTAAGTTGAAGAAATGTAGGGTAGGTGTTCCAACGTTCCCCCAAGGCATCCACGACAAAGGTTTGAACTCAAGCAAGTTTTCAAAGCCTAAAATTGTTACTAATTAGGTACAGAATAACACATACCATCCGTCTTTCCACATTTCAAGAGATACATGTGGCATTTTGAATCCAGAGGTATGTCATTTGGATCCAACCAGTTTGCACCGTGATATAGACGAAAAAATTCATCGACGTGCTCTTCGAAAACCAAGAGATGTGCACAACACGTTACTGTACTTCTGGATTTCTGCTTGATACATTTAAGGAGTTCATGGCCATCAAGTTCAGTTCCAGCCTCTGTCTTCACATCTGGCCTGTGACGATAATGAAAACATGCAAATTTAGACGACTCCACAAACTGAGAGAAAAACATCCTTAAGTCCGAGGCGTGGAAACATTTCGGAATGCCACATATTAAAATAACCTTGGTTGGCTTAATAGCATGTAAGCCAAATTTATCTGAAGTAGTGATAGCTGCAGAGCTCATCTGAAACTCCAGATACTCAAGACTTGAATTTTGGTGGCAAACATCCTGGTATTGTCTACTCTTAACTGTTGCTAGTATTTCACACACATTAAGTTATGACATTTCGAATAGCAATTGACAAGATTGTAAATTAGCACAATATTAAAGTCACGTAACGCTACTTACAAGGCCCCGCCTACGAAGACTTCGGATTTTCAGTTGATGATAGAATGCCTCAGTCCTTCATTAATCATTTTTTGTTATTAAGCTATGTTTATTGAATCGCTTATTCAGTAAGTCGACTGATGATGCAGATATACTCTAGAGGTAAGTGTTAGGAGGTAAACACACCGGAGGAGAACCAGTAGTCTATAGCGGTATTATTCCTCCTAGAGTTTTGAACTCTTGTCTATTGTATCTTGACGTATTTCCTACTGCATCGAAATATTCATTTGCTAATACTCATTTCCTTTTCTTCCATCTACTACTAGTCATTTTTCCGATTAAGCAGTCTGTATTTACTCGTAAACCCTGCACTTTCAAGAGCACTGTTGTTTGAAGCCCCTCATCGACAGCTGCAACTGATTTCAAATGAAAAAAGTACTGTAGAGTTTTCCATCATCCCCAGGCGTCGTCTAGCTTTCACGGCTGAGAAACGATTCGTCAAACACGAGAGGTCTCCCCTAAATCTCTTAATCAGATAGCAAGTCATGGTCTTCCAAATATATTATAATAGGTTCCGTCAGTGTTGCTTCCAATACCTTTACTCAGGGGTCAGAAGTGAACCCTTAGTTCGAAGGACTTTACTTAGATCCCCCATGCAGATGCATGTTACTAATAAATTATTATAGTCACATCGTAACTCTCCGTGCAACCAGGACACCTTAAAGATGGCTGACGGCAGGTCTGTTGAGTACGTAACAATGTGATTGTACACTTTTTGGTTACTTGTATAAATTCGAGATATTGTACATAATTTTTGTTTAAATCGCTTCTTGTTGAAATATACATAACTTCCGTGTACAATTGAAAAATACACTCTGCTGTTGGAGACTTCGTCTTCTCCCTGGTCACTTCTGCTTACTTGCTCCACTCACACCGTGTTGTATACTTCGGATTTATTGTAGGAGCCTACTACTCTCAACCGAAGACATTTCTACAACCGGAACACAGCAGCTACAGCAGACGCAGTCCAAACAATTAACGTGCCTGTGGATTATATAATTAATTTGTAGCCGAGGACTTACACTTTATAACCAAGTAATCCTTTTTGTTGCTATAACTCGTCACTGTATTTTTGGTAATATATTGTGATTTAACACTCCACTGACTTGGATTATTACTTTTATACTTGGAATGTTAGTGAACTCTAATATTAGTCCCCTACAAATTAATTGGTGAGCCCGATAAGAACACGGATTATTTTGGCATATTCATATTCTTATTTTTGCTATTTTGTATATTCATTGTGATTTTGTGTGTGGTTTATATTTGTATCCTAATTTGTACCAATAACCCCATATTCATAATGTCATCACCTCGGTCCGGTACATCAAACGAGCAGACAACTAATAGCGAGACAAATGCCACAATAAATGCCATCACTGATTTTCGTTTACCCCAATACGGTTTCGCGGAACCAAGGATTTGGTTTGCGGTAATTGAACCGTTGCTAGAAGCACGGGGCATTAAGTCCCAAATAGCCAAATATGGTATGGTGCTGGCAGAACTCCCTCCGTCAGTATTGACAGAAATCAGCGATTTCATCGAAGATCCTCCGACGGAACATCAATTTGATAAACTTAAAGCCCTCCTCATACAACGTACCAGTTTGTCGGATGAGAAAAGAATCCAACAATTGCTCACAGGCTGTGATCTAGGCCCACGTAAACCATCCCAGCTGCTCAGGCACATGCGCCAGTTAATCGGACATCATAAAGTAGACGAGGTAGTGCTGAAACAGATGTGGTTGCAACGTTTACCTAGAAATGTCCAGCAAATTTTAATCATCTCAGGAAAGTCGTATGACTTAGACCAACTAAGTGACATGGCAGATAGTATTATGGATGTTTTATCTGATAACACCATAAGTCACGTAGCATCTGATAGTGCCACACCGTGTCATTCCACACCCACGGCAGACACACCGATACTCGCCGCCATTGCAGACTTAGCGGCAAGGATTGACAAGTTGGAGACTAATAGGTCGGATCGACAAGTCCGGAGGCGGAGCTCACAGAGAAGGTCACCATCACGACGACGATCCTTCTCACGACAGCGTTCTTACACGTCTTCTCGGGATAGCAATATATGCTGGTATCACTGGAAGTTTGGACGTCATGCCCTGAAATGTGTAAAACCGTGCAGCTTTAGCGAAGCCAACCAGGCTCAGGGAAACGCCTCAGCCAGACAGTGATGGCGACAGCTGTTACTGGCAATCACCCCAGTCGCCTTTTCTATGTGAGGGATTTGACTACCGGCACATTATTCCTGGTAGATACAGGCGCCGAAGTCAGTGTTATTCCCCCCTCACTATCCAGGCGATCAGCCAAAATACCTGGTAAACTTTCACTTCGTGCTGCCAACCAAACCGACATACCGACGTATGGCGAACAGTCAATGATTTTAAACCTAGGACTACGCCGACGTTTCACATGGATCTTCATAGTAGCTGACGTACGTCACGCTATACTAGGTGCAGACTTCCTAAGTCACTTCAATCTGTTGGTTGATATCAGCAAGAAAAAACTGGTTGACAATTGCACCCAACTCAAGATCCACGGTATTACATGTGACTACTCTGTTCATAGCATCTGTATAGAAAAGCCGGAGAGTGAAATGTTCTCTGCTTTATTGCAACGATTTCCTAAAATCCTTAAACCATCATACAATGTTGAAGATATATCTCATACAGTTACGCATAAGATCATCACAACAGGACAACCTGTGAAGGCACGTCCACGACGGTTACCACCCGATAAACTAGCAGCAGCTAAGTCGGAATTTGAACATATGATGCAGCTAGGTATCATACGACCATCTAACAGCCCATGGTCTTCACCTCTGCACATGGTACCTAAAACTAATCATGACTGGCGGCCATGTGGAGATTATCGCGCTTTGAATAACGCTACGGTCCCAGATCGTTATCCTATACCTCATCTCCACGATTTCTCCTTGAACTTACATGGAAAGACCATTTTTACTAAAGTTGACTTGGTCAGGGCATATCATCAAATACCAGTCGCTCCAGAAGACATTGCAAAAACAGCAATTATCACGCCTTTTGGATTATTCGAATTCTTGAGAATGCCTTTCGGACTAAAGAATGCTGCTCAAACATTTCAGCGTTTTATGGACCAAGTTACCCAAGGTCTTGATTTCGTCTTTGTATATATCGACGATGTCTTAATCGCCAGCTCATCGATGGAAGAACATATGCAACACTTAAGCCTGTTATTTCAAAGGTTTGAACAATTTGGAGTTGTTATCAATCCAAAGAAATGTATTTTTGGTTCCCCTTCCATTGAATTCTTAGGACATCGAATAACTGCCGAAGGCATCAGACCTACCGAAGATAAGATAGAAACTATTAAGAACTTTCCCGAACCTGATTCCTTAAAGAAACTTAGACGTTTTCTCGGGATGTTCAACTTCTACCGACGTTTTATTCCATCATGTGCCTCCATAGTTCAGCCACTGACCGACCTACTTAGATGCAATTCGAAGAAATTTCAGTGGTCTGAAGAAGCAAAAGCAGCATTTAATAATGCAAAAGATGCCTTATCCAACGTTGTAATGTTATCTCATATCAACCCAGAAGCTTCACTTATTTTATGTACAGATGCATCGCAGGTAGCAGTGGGAGCAGTTTTACAACAAAAGTTCAATAATGACATCACTCCACTTGCTTTCTTCTCCAAGAAATTGGAACCTGCGCAAACTCGTTACAGTACCTTTGGCAGAGAACTGTTAGCCATCTACCTAGCAGTTAAACATTTCAGTTACTTACTACAGGGCCGGCATTTCACTATTTTTACTGACCACAAGCCCCTGTGTCATGCTTTCACTACTTCACTCGATAAACACTCCCCTAGAGAAGCCAGACAGTTGGATTATATCTCCCAATTCTCAACCGACATCCAGTACATCAAAGGAGATGCGAACGTGGTAGCCGATTCTCTTTCAAGAAGTGACATTAACCAGCTTCAAACGTCGGTAGACATCAGTCTTGATCGTATGGCTCAATTACAAAGAGATGACGTTGAACTCCAAACCTGCCGCAGAAACTCTTCCTTACAGCTCAAAGATGTGCCTATCCCCTTATCAGATGCAACCATAGTCTGCGATGTATCTACCGGAACTAATCGTCCATTTGTCCCTCTCAGTTGCCGAAAAGCATTGTTCGAACATTTACATTCGCTTTCCCACCCTGGAGTACGCGCCACGGTCAGACTGATCAGCGAACGCTTCGTGTGGCCTAAAATGAACTCTGACATTCGGAGATGGGCACGAGAATGTATCCAATGCCAATGCTCCAAAGTACACCGCCACACTATTACAACCCCGAAGACGTTTAAATTACCCGAAAGGAGATTTCAGCATATCCATATAGATATCGTGGGACCATTGCCAACATCAAGGGGATATACACATATCCTGACAGCGATTGATAGATTTACTCGTTGGGCTATTGCATGCCCCTTAAACGACATATCTGCTGAAAACGTTGCTTTAGTTTTTCTCGACCGTTGGGTGTCAAACTACGGTGTACCGACTACTATTACATCCGACCGCGGTCCTCAATTCCAATCGACACTCTTTCGCGAACTGACGAGACTTCTGGGAGTGAAACATATCTCCACAACAGCCTATCATCCGGCAGCGAATGGTCTAGTGGAAAGATTCCACAGACAACTGAAAAGCTCCCTGATGGCGCAGAATGATACATCTAAGTGGAGTGAATACTTACCTTTGATTTTACTTGGTATCCGTTCTACTATCAAAGAAGATTTAGGATGTACACCGGCTCAACTTGTCTATGGCACCAACCTAACCTTGCCTGGACAGCTAGTCCCCTCAGCCGATTCCACAGACGTGAACATTGCCGACTTCACTAACCGATTAACTAGACAAATGCTTCAACTTCAACCAACAGCACCTCGACAATCTCCCCGAAGAGATCAGATCAACAAACATCTACAAACTTGCAAATTCGTCTTCATTCGAGTCGACGCCATCAGAAAAGGATTGCAACCTCCATACGAAGGACCCTTTCAAGTTATTAAACGTTCAGACAAACACTTTACAGTGAACAAGAATGGAAGACGAGAGACTGTTTCAATTG